ATAATAATAATAATAATAATAATAATAGTACCACAAAAAAAGAGTAAAGAAAAGAAATAAAATTCATGCACCCACTACTTCTCCCCTTTCAGCAGCCTCCCACCACCACCTCCGACGCCTTCCCAAGGCCGACGCTGCCGCTCCAGTGATCTCCAATCTTTCTCCTGCAAGACGACGACCAAATCCACAAAAATTCCTGTGAGTCTTTTCGTTGTTCTTATCCAAATAATGAAACAGAAGCTCCTCCAGAAAATCCAAATCCACTTTCTCGTTGCCGTTCAGGCGCACCTCCACCACCTCCGCCATCGACCGCTGGAAATTCCCTGTATGGATTCGGAGAATACTTCAGGGTCGCGATGAAATCGTCCGCCTCTATCTCCTCTTTTCATTGGCTATCATCAACTTCAGGTCAGGCAAGATCCCTTTATTTTTTATTTCTTCATATACTATTTCGGCCCCAACCGAGTATACTCGTTGATAAATTTCTCTCAGCTCTTCTTGTTGTTCTTTTCTGAGAGCTCAGATTTGGGATCTTTGGGATTCTTTCATTAGGTCCCAGGCTTGTTTGACTTCTTTCCCGTTTGAGGTCTTACCTCTAGGAACCTCGAAGGTCGGCGAGGCATAGACTCCTCTGTCATAATGTGTTGTTGAGCCCAGGACTGGAACTCTTGGTAGGTGGTCAGCTTATTTGGTAAGTGGTTGGTTTATTCTGGAGTAGTGAACATCTGAACATCGAGTTGGATTTCAGACTCGAGTAAGTCGATGCCAACAATGTCTCCTATTGACGTGACTCCATACTCTAAATTCGCTCGTTGAACTGAGCAACATAATTTTTGAGGTTCTCCTCGGCCCCCTAGACTATGCTCGTGATTGACTCCTTCAGAATCATGCATACCTGGGACTGGATGAAATGAGATAAGAATGCCGACCTCAACTGCTGCCAGGTCTAAATTGAGTGGGGGTACAATGAATGGTACCACCTATGAGCTTTGGGCCTTAGGTTCAGCGAGAATATTCTTCATCTAATGGTGTCCCCGACCCAATGCAAATCCATCCATGATATGTATAGCCCTATATGTGAGTCTGGGTTCGAGGTGTCGCCA